TAGATAATAATTAGTAGTTTTGAAATACGATAAATATAATCTAATTTTATGTATTATGTGTTAATACTTTAATAAGGTCAAAATTGCAAAATGGTTTGGTGGAAAAGATCACYATTAGGTAGTACTACCTACTGCTTAATGGAATWTGGATGGCTTTATCAACAAAATAAAGTTAACGAATAATTAGGTAATTATCTACTATGTTACACAATTCTATTACTATAATACTGTTCGTATTAGGTACTAACAACAATATYATTGTATTAGGAATAGCATTATATTATGATATACTCAATAGTAATAGTTTGTYACAATAATAATGWGATACATATTTTATGTCTTACATATTATTCTGTTTAACAMTTAAATATCGTATTTCCCAACTATAAAAGAAACTCTTGAAAGGAACAATCACTATACCATATTAGCAGGGACCAAAATACCTAAATTGTATAAACACTTTTCTTGTAACGTACAAATCACATCCTAAAATAATATCAGAAGATAAAGAAACCTTAAATCGATGCTTTTTTTATTATTGATTTTACAAAACGTCAATAATAATTAATAATACTTATCGGTCCCCTATAACTTTAAACTTTTAAACTATAGTTTATAAGTATAACTTCTATAATAATGTACAACCCTATAATAAGTAAAATAAATAAAATAGAAATTAGAAATACTTAATTGATACAATTTTTTATCAGTTCTGAACTCTYGAACTTAATTTTGGTAAGATTAATTAACAAATATTCAGAAATAATAACTTAGTAATACATTGCTAAGTTAAAAAAACCTATCTTTAGTCTTGATGGAAACTAGAATTTTGTCATTAGTTATTTCAGGCGCTTCTGGAAAGTCTCCTTGAAATCGTAATATTAAAATAAATATAGTACTAGATAAAATAATTGGTTAAGAGGGCGCAACACCCGTACTATTGTCTCAGTCTTACAAACGCGTAGCATAACAAATTTACGCTCAACAGTTCAAGTTTTACTCAGTTAGCTTAAAAATTAGAGTGAATAGACTTATTATGAAACTTGATGGTTAAATTTTAAAATTTGATGGCAAGAACATCATCTGTGTTTGGTTGGAAATATTTTTACGATAATTCAGTTTTTAAGTAAGTTATGAGCATTTTTATTTTACAATTTTGAATTTAATATACGCGCATAACTTACTTAAAAACTGAATTATCGTAAAAATATTTCCAACCAAACACAGATGATGTTCTTACCATCAAATTTTAAAATTTAACCATCAAGTTTCATAATAGGTCTATTCACTCTAATTTTTAAGCTAACGGAATAAAACGTGAACTGCTGAGCGTAAATTTGTTAATATGCTACGCGTTTGTAAGACTGAGACAATAAATACGGGTGTTGCGCCCTCTTAATAAATGTAAATTTGTAAATTTCAACACGACATACGGTCGTACGGGTATTTAATATCCAATTTAAAAAAAAAAATCAAAACGTTAGTAATTAACTAGATATTCAACTACATAATACTACATAATCAATAATTATTTAAATATACAAAATTTCAAATTTTTTTATTTCAGATATTACTTCTACACATTCTTTAATTTTATACTGCACATTAAATTTTTCGAATTGCACATTGTATACACTAATGCACTATATAAGTCCCTGCATATTAGCATGTTTGGCCTTATCTATTTGGTACCTAGCTGTCTGCTGTTTGCGTTAGCAGTTTTCAATAATAGAGAATGAGAGACATACGCACGCGCGTACACACACACACACACACACATATACTTGTATATATTTGTGAAAGTATCCTCATGCTACCGGCTACAAGACAAAAGCAGTGGTTGTGTGCGCATATATAGTACAGTACACCTTCACTAGAAAAGTATAGGTGGAGACAGAAATAATAAATTGGTGGTCTTTTTTATTAGGTTCTAACCGCAGGTTAAATACGTCGCAAATAGAAACAACAACAAAAAAAAAATTGTAAAGGAAGGAGTGGTCAAAGTTTATTTCAGCTCGTGTGTATTACATAGAAAATTATAGAGGTGATAGAACAATAGTGCTGGCTAGAATAGGATTTGATGCAATGTAAGTTTCTAATTATTATCTAAATAAAAGTATAAACAAACATTCATGTACGGTGTGGCTAATATATCGACTCCATCTTGATAAAAAAAAAGTGTGAAATATATCAACTAATAAAACAGAAATACAATTTGGTAACACCATCGGTATTTATTACGAATTATTTCCTGATGGAATACAATCAATAAAAATAATATAATAAAATACCGTTTTATATAGTTTTAACAAATTTAAGTTTTTGGTRTCTTTGACCATTTTAATAAATTTATACAAATGAAAAATTCACGAGGATATTTATTACATAAAAATTATTGAATCAACAATAACCAAATATTTATATTATTGAAAGTTCAGTTATTAGTTTTGTTATATAGTTTATAGAAAACCAAATTTTAATTGTCTACTGGAGGAAATAAAAACAATCTCTACACAACTGTAGGTWCAATAATAGTTATTTTGATATCAGAATACATTCTTAACTCGGATCGCCAGATGGAGGAAGTCCCCGCATATATTCGTAGTCTATAAATCCTAAACTTTAGTGCATAAAATCTAGGTGTAGATGAGGAGAAAATAAAAATATATTGTATTTATTATTTTGTGAGAGTAGTAACTAGTAAGTGACGATTCCAGTTTCTTTTTAATCTGCGAGGAGGCTCATAAAAAAATGATTTAAGTGCTTAAATGTTTAAAATCACAAAGCGTTGTCTGGGAAACCATTTATAGTCTGAGCTCAGAAAGTAGTTACGAGAATATATTTTTAATTTGAAATAAAAACCAAGATACATCATAAACGGAGGTTTGGTGGTAAAAAAAAAAACYTTATTTCTAATTATAATGATACAATCTTCTTTATAGATGGTTATCAAGCTGTGCTTGTATTTGCAAACAGGTTACATTAGCGATTTGACACTTAACACATATTATATCTGTTTAATATACAACTAGGAGTAGGTAGTCTATTATATCTTAAATGATTGCTCAGAAAATAAAGATTACCTATTAATAATAGATGACATATTATGTTTAATACTAGGAGGATAAGGATGCTCTAAGCTAACCAAACAACAATTAAAAATTCGTAGTTATGCATACAAAAAATATTATATTGTATTATAACAAATTTAAGTCTCACTAACGTTAGTTGTTAGGTAACCCTATATTTGCGGCTATGACCTTTAGGCTTTGAGCTATATTTTACTAGATTAGTGATAAGAAAATTTTAATTTACTGCAAAAAATATTTTAATTATAATATAGTTTTTAAATAGGTAATAACATATATTGTTCCAACTCCAAAGGTAAAATAAAATGAATTGGTTTCAAATAACACTTCATCAATCATATAGTTAGAATCAAAGTTAAAATGCAAGAATTAGAGTTTAGCTTACATTTTCAGTATTGATAAACTGCTAATAAAATTTATTTACATACAATTGGTTAAGTGAATTTAAGCTTTTTCCATAATATAATATCGTCGGGAAAACTATTTTTGTATGGCTTTGTTAGCAAATAACACGACAATAACCTACATTTTCCTCGCAGGTTAACCGTTAAATAAAGTATATTTTATTGTTTTATTTTTTATGTGACATAATTTACCACTATACCACCACCATTAACGACCTATAGGACAAAACAATTTGTTACTAAATTAGTCAAAAATGTCTTTTAGTCTCACAGGTCATAACTATTGAACGTTCTTAAACGCAGCTCTCAACCAAAACAATAAATCTACAAAATTATGTTAATTGCAGAGGTTTACTTATCTCTTTCTGGATWCAAAATCAACTCGCGTCAAAATTGTACGCTTTAATCGATTTATATGTCTCTCTCTTTCTCTTTCTTACTTCCAATATAATTTGTCATCATTACGTGCCTCGCAATAATTTTTGGGTTAGAATAGATTTTCATTCGTACACAAAGGAAATATAGTTATTCCGTAGGTAGGTCTGGGTCTTTGATATCAGAAACATCATAATAATAATAACCGTACAATTTTTTATTTTATTTTTTACTTATATATGTATGTATATATTTAAATATTTTTTTTAAACTACAAAAGTGAAAGGTTATCTGTAATTAATTATTTATTGAAGGAAATAAAAATGTTTTGCTTTATAGGATCGATGAAGGCACTGTCATTTATACTATATACGTTAATTAGATACATTATTATAATTATTTTGTTTATCATTATATTACTGTGTACAGAATGTAACGGAAAGACCTGATAAATAAAATTGAAAAATTTAT